CCTTTAATCATTCTTGTTGCTCTTCTCTGGACCCTTTCCAATTTCTCTAAGATGGTTAACACACCCCACTGTAGTGTATAATATAGTCAAATAAAAAATAAGGACCATAAACCATGGTTCAGAAGTGAAGCTGAGTCCCACAGGTCATGGTATTGCATGGTTCTAATGCTGTAGCAAATGGCTTTGATTGAGTCTTGTTTGGAGATTGAGGGTTTTTTTTCAAAATGATACTTTTGGGGTGTGAAACTATATTGGTTGAAACTGAAGAAAATGTTGGCATGGATTCCTGTGAAGCACACAGCTCTAGTATGTAGGTTCACAGAGTGAGAGTAAAGCCGCAAGTAGATTGTATATGCTCAATCATAAAGAGTACTCTCCTAAACCCTCCATTTTAGTGGCCATTTAAAAGAACAGAACGAAACCAAGGACACTCTACCTGAGCTTGGTTCTTTTGTTTCAATGGTATTTAAGGGAATAGTTGCTTCTACTGAGTTCAAGTCAAATGAGCTTTTCTATACAGAAAATAGAAATATGTTAACATCACTGCTGTACACATTCAAGCTGTAGAAACCAAATGGAAATATTATTATAATAAATAATAATAAAAGATCTGTTGGTCTTATTTTTAATCTCTGTAATCTATTTTCCTCATACGGATCAGTTTCAGTCATATCATTGCATGTTAAAATTGTTCACGCTTTAACATTTCAGTAAGCATTAATTTATTTTTTAATATTAAGGTTACAGATAAATGGCTTGAAATATTAATGTGCCAACATATTATTAACTTTCCATGCGTCTTGCCTATAGTCCTCAGTCAATTATAGAGCACAATCGAAACTGGATAGGCTATGTTCACTTAGGGTCAGTGACATTTTCAGATGGACTGTCCTTTGCTGGTGCAGAACCCCCTGGTGACAGAAAAGTATCTCAGAAAGGGATAGCATTGCAAATTGAGGACCAGCAATACTCCAGAAGAGGCTGGCATTGGCCAGGACTGGAGTATAATCAAGGTATCAGGAAAATATGTATATCCTAAAAGGATTAAGGATGTCATCCACTGGCAGACTCTCACAGGGAGATCAAGCAGTGGGTGAAACCCCATTAAACGATCACTGCAAATCTGAGAGATCACTGAAGAAATTAAAAAGTAAGAATAATATAATAACAAAAATATAAGAATAATAAATATAAAAAAGTTTACACTTACTCTTGACTTTTTCCACCTACAGCAACAAACAATGATAACAATAATAAGGAGCATCCCAAAGAAAATGCTGAGTCCTATCACTGAATAAGCAAACAAATAGCATCAGTTACTGTGAATCATCAAGAAAGGGAACAAACAAATACATCCTTTGGCAGGATATAACGACACAAGAGAGAACAGTTATATAATACAGTGAAATCTCAATCTTCAAAAATGAAAGTGCAAAATTAAAAAAAAAATCTTGATGAGCACAGAAAGTAGCAAATCAGCTCAGGACAACTAACCCCTAACCTCCTCTAAGTGTCTGTTGAACTTCATGAAGGTCAGCACTAAGTTTAGAAACATTTTCCCAAACGATAGGTCTATGTTTTAGATGAAGACACTCACGGAGCTCCAAACTTTTTGACCTGCCTTGGAAAATGTTTGGAATACACATGATTTGATTCCAAAACTTGGGTTTTGTTGTTTTTTGCCATCTTCTGCAGCATGGGCATGGACCACTTGCAGATTTAAACTAGTGTAAATGATGGAGTCTCTGTAACTTTAAGTCTTTAAATCATGATTTGAGGACTTCAATAACTCAGTCAGAGGTTAGGGGTTTATTACAGGAGTGGGTAGGTGAGGTTCTGTGGCCTGCAATGTGCAGTGTGTCAGACTAGATGATCATGATGGTCCCTTCTGGCCTTAAAGTCTGTGAGTCTATGATTAATTACTTGAGCAATAAGGTATCACAAACAGTGATAGGGGAAGCTTGAAAATTTTACCTTTGGATTTGGTTCAGATAAGCAGCCTGTATTCAGGTGTTAGTACTATGATTATCTGAATTTCTTGGGCTGTTAGTCAAATAAGAACAGGCTTTTTCAGTATTTATACCTGCTACTGTATTTTCTACTCCATGCATCTGATGAAGTGGGTTCTAGCCCATGAAAACTTATGCCCAAATAAATTTGTTAGTCTCTAAGGTGCCACAAGGGCTCCTCGTTGTTTTTGCTAAAACAAAACAGGATTTCTGCCAATCTGACCTAAGGGAAAATTTCTTCCGGACCCCAGATATGCTGGTTAGTTGGACCCTGAGCATTTTGGCAAGACCCAGTGGCCAGACACCTGGGAAAGAATTCTCTGAAGTAACTCAGAGCCCTCCCAATGTAGTGCCTCGTCATCAGGCGTTGGGGATATTTGCTACTAGCAGTCACAGATAGGCTACATGCCAGTCTAGGCAGTCTTATCACTGGATCCCGCTACAAACTTATGAAACTCAGTCTTGAAGCCAGTTAGGTTTTTTGCCCCCAGTGCTCCCCTTGGAAGGCTGTTCCAGAACTTCACTCCTATGATAGTTAGAAACCTTCATCTAATATCAAACCTAAACTTGTTGATGGCCAGTTTATATCCATTTATTTTTGTGTCAACATTGGCCCTTAACTTAAATAACTCCTCTCCCTCCCTGGTATTTATCCCTCTTGTGAAGTGCTGGGAGTTGAAGGTGCTTAGTACCACCTCATGGGATCTGACTCCCCAAAATCCATCACAATAGATGTGTCTTTAAAAGCCAAAAATTCAAGTCATGTAATGAAATGGTATAATTTTGACTGAGCGTTTGTCTTTTCAACAAGAAGTCTAGCCAAATCAATAAATTCCTGAATGTAACTATTTACAGAAGGTTTACAATACAAGGCAGAGATTCCCAACGGTTGGACCACAGGGAGCTGGCTAGTCACATATTGTTGGCTCCTCTTCCTCACTTCAGCCTGATAAGACAACTACAATATGTAAAACCCTTGTTTATTTCTGTATAAGCAACTGCTGTAGTAGCCACAGAGATGTTATGTAATTGTGGAGGGGAGAGGTTCCATGAAACAATTCCTTTGTTAAAAGGTGGTCCACACTATGAAAAAAACTCAAGAACCTTTGCTTAAGGCATCTGAGTACTGTAAAACCTCAGCAAAAAGTTCTCTTTAAGGAGTTAAATGAAAAAACATCATATAGCGGGGGGAAAACACACTAATAACTATTGCTAGCCACAAAACCAAAAAGTACGTTTGTAAAGTAATTGTAAAGTTTTCCTTTGTTTTGTCTCTCCTAGCCACTCACCACACTCTCCCATACTTAACCCCAGTCTTGGTTTCCAAGGAGTAACATTATCATTGGAATTAGGGTACTTAGTGAGAAAAAAAGATATTGAAAAAACAATGAGGAGTCATTGTGGCACCTTAGAGACTAACAAATTTATTTCCACTCTGAAAGATATTGAAGTTATTATTAAAATAAAAATAAATCAATAGTACTTCAGTGGATACTAACTACTAATATAGCACAATGCATTATTATTAGTCAGATGAATATACAACAATAATATTAAGGTTTGCGCTTAAATAAAAAGTCCTTTAAAATTTCCTTTATAGATGCAGTTCTTTTCAGGCCATTGTGGGCATGCAATATAATGTCTGGTCTTCAAAACTAGCAATGGTAAAATAAACCCAGCAATGAGAAAGAAAGGGGTGGCCTATTGGAAAGTGGAAATATACATATTAAAGTTGTTGACATACCTAGTCCAGATGTTTGCTGTTCTTTCTCTATGGAAAAAAACAAAACAAAACAACAAATTTAATTTGGAGGGGGAAATAGGCTTTTTGGAGGCAGGGGCCTAGCCTTCTTTTGTGCTTGTACAGCATCTAGCATGATGTGGGTGCTACCAGAAACAAATAATAATATGCAACTTCTTATCTGTCACAGTTAGTAATTTTCCTTCCAGCTACTAATTACTGCATGCTTATATTCACTCTGACCATTTTGCTTGTATGTTGCATCCCATTTCCCCCTCCCTACATCTCTCTTTTGTCTAGACTGTAAGCTCTTTGGGGCAGGGACTGTTTCTTCTTACATGTTCATACAGCACTTAGTGCAATGAGGCCCCAATCCTGACAGTGGCCTTAAGCTCCACTGTAATACAAATAACTATTAATAATAATCTGTTACTAATGAGGTAAGGTGGATCCTGACAGTGTGGGTTGAGTTGGAGAGGACCACGAGAGTGCGGCCTGATGTCACTTCTCCTTCCTGACTTTCTTCTGGTTACTCCACTCTCTGGCTCAGGTGTGTGTTGCAGTGAGAAGCACAGAGCAGACAACTGGCATAGGGGAAGGAAATCCAGCAGCCATCTGCAGGGCAAGCAGAATAGCTCTAACAGCTGTTGGAGGAGAATAATACACCACAAAAAACCATCAAACTCTGGCCTTGAGGCCATGCCATGACAAGAGCATAGCTCTCAAGTGTTGTGAAGCTCTGTGATTTTATGTAAATTGTTTTATGTAAAACTTCAATAAAAATTGTGGCATTAGTGCTTGTGAAAGGCATTGGTTTGACACCAGATTCCCCTTACAAGGTTCCCCCTAAAGCACAGGGCCGGCTCTAGGCATCAGCGCTCCAAGCATGTGCTTGAGGTGGCACTTTCCAAGGAGCGGCACTCCGGCTCCCTTTTTTGTTTGTTTTTTGTTTTGCTTGGGGCGCAAAAAGCCGGGAGCCGGCCCTGAGTGGAGGTGAGCTGCGATGGTGGGGGGCGCGGGGAGGGCCGCAGGAAGTAACCCGGGGGGGGCAGAGGAACCGCCTCCCCCCCCAGCTCACCTCTGCTCCACCTCCGCCTCCTCCCCCGAGTGCGCCGCTGCACCGCTTCTCCCCCCTCCCTCCCAGGCTTGCCGCGCAAATCAGCTGTTTTGCGGCAAGCCTGGGAGGGAGGGGGGAGAAGTGGAGCGGCGGCAGCGTGCTCAGGGGAGCAGGCGGAGTGGAGGTGAGCTGCGGCGGTGGGGGGTGTGGGGAGGGCCGCAGGAAGTAACCCTGGGGGGGGGGGCAGAGGAACCGCTTCCCCCCCCAGCTCACCTCCGCTCCTCCCTGAGCGCATCGCCGCTCCGCTTCTCCCCCCTCCCTCCCAGGCAAGCCTGGGAGGGAGGGGTAGGAGGGGAAATGCGGCACGCCAGGGGGAGGAGGTGGGGCCGGGGATTTGGGGAAGGGGTTGGAATGGGGCAGGGAAGGGGCAGAGTTGGGGCTGGGCCGGAGGGTGTGTGAAAATTTTTTTGCTTGGGGCGGCAAAAAACTTGGAGCCGGCCCTGCTAAAGCAGCAGAAACAGGTTTGGGGAGGCAAGACTTTATTTCTTACATCACTCAGCAGATGGGGGAGGACCTCAGAAGCAGCTTTGTGGAGAGCCAAGGATAACCAAGTGATCACAGTTCATGGGCAGGATGGAGTCTGTGGGTTATTGGGGTGAACCTGGGAGAGTAACTGCACAATGACATTAGCCCCATTCACCCCTATTCTGTTCTCCCACTAGATCATTTCCCACACAGAAACTCCTACTCCTCCCTTAGCTCATGTCCCCTCTTAGCTCACTTCCTATCTCCTGTCCCCAATGGTTTCTGCTCCCCATCATTCCTGCTCCCTCTCCACAGCTCCTGCTTCCTCTCCTTAGTTCCCCTCAGTAACCCATCTATTCCTCACAAATAGCTCCAGCTGCTTTCCATAGCTCCTGTGTCTCCCCCATTAGCCCCTCACCTACCCTGACAGTTGGACACTGCTGCTATCTCCTGCCTTCTGTGAGCCAGATTAAGGGCTAGACACAAGAGGGACAGGCTGAGGGCTCATTACTAAATTCCTGTGTTGGCTTAGATTCTACATTTTCATTTTTAAAATTGATGGTTGCACAGAGAAGCTTGAGCATGTGACCAGAATATAATCAACACAGTGATGTCTGCCTGAATCTGCATAGAGGGAGGAGAAACTGCCAGGAAGCTGCCTGGCCTCACATCCACCATGAAAGCAGACCAAGTATGCTTTGGGAGTCAGTCTGAATAGGGACAGGCTTGGATGCCCCGCTAGACCTGTAGAACTGGCTTTTCCTTGGTGAGGTGTAAACATTCTGCTAGCTCTGCAGGATTGGCTCCCTTTAGTGAGGTGTGGGATTCTGTTTGGAATCCACTCCACTTCTGGCCTTTTGGCTCCATGGATAAATTTGGAGACAAATGCTGGTAATATCTCCAGTGACACCCATTCATGGCACCAAACGGACATGTCCCTCACATTAGGCTGAGCAGTCCTTGTCCCTCTCTTTGTTTGGTGATGAAACAAGTTAAAAGCTTAGTATTTAAATTATCAATATTGAGCATCTGAGCTAACCCACCGAAGAGATGAAAGAGGCAGTTCACAACGCTCAGAAATATTGCTTTAGGCTATCTGTACACTAAGGTAGATGTCTGTGCCTAGGTTATACTCGTTCATATTTCCGTCATATTTGCTTCCTCGGGTTGTGATAAGGGAGAAAGAGAGAATGCACACACACTAGAGCTGGTTGGGAATTTTTAGACAAATTTTTGTTGTTGAAGAATTCCTGAAATGCTGGAACAGAAACTGTTTGCAAAACAGGGTCTGTTTCAACAAATTTCCCTACTCCAAAAAATGGAGACAGAAAAAAAAAATCAAAATTGTCAAAATGTTTAATGAAATGAAAATTTCTTGTCTTCCAGCTTCAAAATGTTCATTTTGAAATGTAAGCTAATTAGAGTTTTAAAGAGGTAAAAAAAAAGACCAAAATGTAACATTTTGACTTTAACTGAAAAAAAAATCAAATTTTTGGTTCATAACATTTTTAAGATTTCAACTTTTCATCCTGATTCAAAATGGCAAAAAGTTTTGAACTCTTGAACATACACATGGAATGGGAATACCATTTATAGTTCTCCCTCTCTCTCGCATACCTCCCCCTATCCCGCCCATCCATGTACCTGGCTTTTTCCTCCTGCATGCTGGCAGGATGGGGGTATTTTTCCCTAACTATTCTAAAATTAGAGAATTAAAACAATTTTAAAAATAGGACTGATTGAAAAGCCACTGAAAATGAGCAATTAAAAATTCTACTTCTTTAATGTTTAAATTTTGTTTTTTTGGTGGTTTTTTTTAGAAATAGAAAAATGTCATACTAGTCTATGGCTGGTCAACCCCCCCCAACCCCTTCCAAAAGAGTCAATAAACATTTGTCTGAAATTTTCAGGGGGTTGTAATCAAAATATTAATATTTGAAAAATTTAGTCCAACAATGTTAAAATAATTTAACCAGTAATGTTAACTCAGTCTCAGTGAGGTTTATAATACTGCAGTTACTTCCTTAAATCAAATCACTGAGGCATTATTAGCTCTTTGGCCAGCAAGTACACTCTGGCCAAAATTACCTCGATATAACAGCAGCTGCATCAGGCCGCAAAGGACTGCTTAGCTTAAACCTGGACTGAGCCCTGCATTTTCTGAAACTGGGGATAGCAAGATCTTTGCTGAATCTCTAAGACTGAAGTGCAGGCATTTTAACTCCATGGCACCTTCTTGGATGGTGATTTAAGCAGCAGGTCTTAACAGCAGTTAAGAAAAGGAGCCTTGTACCATCTCCATTGCACTAGCAAGGATGAATGGGCAAAGAAAATTCTGTCTAAGCAATTTGACTTTGAGGGAGAAATCTGCTTTGAGGGGAAAATCTGCAAGAGTCCATCACTGGAGGAGTGGCAAGGAGAGCAGAAAATAGTGCCGTAACAGGACTAGTATATGCACAGTGAGGGGGGAACAGATTCAACATTGTAAGGAAATAATGAATTAAAAAAACAGACCTGGCCCAAAATTCAGGTTGGTAGAGGTTGATCTGACTAACTTCTTGTCCTCCAAAGTTAGTTGTTTAGCAGTAGACTTGAAAAAGAACGTTGATTCTCTACTTATTTTCATTGTAGAACTTGAGGAGCTTTTTACTGATGGCAGCCCTGAAGTTGAGATTTTTTTATGTCCAAGCACTATGGTCATCGTCATGCCTAGGACGGTCACCACCGTGACGGGCGCCACCGTCTCCCGCATCGTGTTTGGGACGGTCACCACCGTGACGGGCGCCACCGTCTCCC